CTTCTTAATCTCTTCTGCCTCTGTTAGGTCCCTGCCATTTTGGTCCTTTATCATGCCCATCTTTGCATGAAACGTTCCCTTCATATCTCCAATTTTCTTGAAGAGATCTCTGGTCTTCCCTATTCTATTGTTTTGTTCTATTTCTTTGCACTGTTCATTTAAGAAGGCATTCTCATCTCTTCTAGCTATTCTCTGGAATTCTGCATTCAGTTGGGTGTATCTTTCTCTTTGTCCCTTGCCTTTCGCTTCCCTTCTTTCCTCAGCTACTTGTAAAGCTTCCTCCGACAGCCGTTTTGCTTTCTTGCATTTCTTTTTCTTTGGGATGGTTTCAGTTGCTACCTCTTGTACAATGTTGCGAACCTCCGTCCATAGTTCTTCAGGCACTCTGTCTATCAGATCTAATTCCTTAAATCTATTTGTCACGTCTACTGTATATTCATCAGGTATATGATTTAGGTTGTGCCTGAGTGGCCTAGTGCTTTTCCCTACTTTCAATTTAAGCCTAAATTTTGCAACAAGAAGCTCATGATCTGAGGCACAGTCAGCTCCTGGTCTAGTTTTTACTGACTGTATAGAGCTTCTCCATCTTTGGCTGCAGAGCACATAGTCAATCTGATTTCTGTGTTGACTGTCTGGTGATGTCCATGTGTAGAGTCATCTCTTGGGTTGTTGGAAAAGAGTGTTTGCTATGACCATCGTATTCTCTTGACAAAATTCTACCAGCCTGTGCCCTGCTTCATTTTGTACTCCAAGGCCAAACTTGCCTGTTATTCCAGTTATCTTTTGGCTTCCTACTTTAGCATTCCAATCCCCCATGATGATAAGGACATCATTTTTTTGGTGTTAACTGTAGAAGGTGTTGTAGGCCTTCACAGAACCGGTCAACTTCAGCCTCTTCAGCACCAGTGGTTGGGGCATAGACTTGGACTACTGTGATATAGAATGGTTTGCCTTGGATTCAAACTGAGATCATTCTGTCATTTTGGAGATTGTATCCCAGTACTGCTTTTCCTACTCTTTTATTGACTATGAAGGCTACTCCATTTCTTCTGAGGGATTCTTGCCCGCAGTAGAAAACCTGATGGTCATCTGAATTAAATTCACCCATTCCTGTCAATTTTAGTTCACTGATTCCTAAGATGTCCATGTTCAGTCTTGTCTCCAATTGAATGTCCTTTCGGCTTTGACCCAGTCGCTTAATTCTTTCTGGCGCTACTAGTACTAGCCCTCTGCTCTTCCCCAGTAGTATATTAGACACCTTCCGACATGAGGGGCTCATCTTGCCTTTTGGTACTGTCCATGGGGTTTTCATGGCAAAGATATTGGAGTGGGTTGCCATTTCCTTCTCCAGTAGATCATGTTTTGTCAGAGCTCTCTGCTATGACCTGTCCGTCTTGGGTGGCCCTGCACAGCATAGCTCATAGCTACGCAAGCCCCTTCGCCATGACAAGGCAGTGATCCATGAAGGGGAACTGTTTTTTAGCCCAAGGCAAAACAAAAGACAAACAGCGTGACAAATACAAATAAACAAACTATCCAGAGGGTACCTAATTGAATCCAAGTGAAACAAAATGAAGAAAGAAGAGATGCACCACTACATAGCTTATAGTTTGGTGCAGCACAAATCCCTCTGAAGAGATTGACCATTCCTAGCCGGCAGGCCTAATTAAGCCTCTGATTCCACATCTAGCCTGCATAAATTTGGATCCCCTCTATGGGCCTCACCCACTTCTCACTCTGAGCTACATTCTCCGGCTTCAAGACCATCATGGCCCTGAGGAAAAAGCTGGGAGAGGAATTCCCTAGTTATCTCCAGTCTGTGGTAGGAAAGGGATCCTCTTATAAAGGCTGTGACAAGGAAAAACCAGAGAGAAGGACCTTGGGGTGTACAATCAAATAACACCCCCAGGGTCGACAGTTTAATTCAGACATACAGGAAGTACATGCAGCATGTAGGAAGCCCCTGAAGGAACTAGCAAGATGGAGTCTATACAAGATGTGTACATAGCCTATCATGTAAATGCATGGTTTGGAGGAGGGATGCGGAATCACATGCACAGTGTGCTAGAGGCACATGAAACAATAGTGTTGAACATGAATACCAAGAGAACCTTCAGGACAGGTGATTATTAGCATATCTAAGATGTGTTCTCAAAAGAGAGACCCATCAGCATTTTTAAGGTGTACATAGGAAGCAAGACTTGTAACATAGATCGGATTGGGAATCCCATCTTAATCTTAAGTCTAAAGCTGTTCTTGCAGTGTCCTGCTTTAAGCAACCATATTATGGCGAAGCATTTGCTCATTCTGTCCTGATAGTTGTTACTGTCCTGCTAAAATAGGAAGGGAGTGACATGCTGAGCATCAACTATGGGGAAAGGCACGGGGCAAGACAAACCAGTTCCTGAACAAAACAAAATTTGGAATAAACATCAAAAGGGGTCTGACACAGCTGAGTCTACTATCTAGCCTCCCAAAGATCCAAAGTAAAATAAGCTCACCTAAAATATGTTCGATACCCCTGCTCAAAGGCTGATTGGTATATCTGTTCTCACAAAGTAGGTAGGTCCCCAAGTAAAAGAAGAAGGAGTGCAACAAGTGAAGTACTGGAACTGAAACCGGAAGGTCTGGACTAAAAGCCTAATTTGGCCATTAATTGGTTAATTGATCTTATACAAAATGTTTAACTGATGGATGAACTGATTAGGTTGCACTGCTGGATCACAGTCTGTTTTAATATGAGTTACAACCAGTGCTTTTTTTTGCCATAGAACGCACTGGAACAGAGTTCTGGCACCTTTTTTTGACAGATTTTCCAAGTTTTAAAAATAACTTTTGAAAATTTGATGTTTGGTCCAAGCGGATTTGAATCGCCCTGTCGAGTGTAGCAGGTCGGTGGCAAAATCATTAGAACGGTGCATGCGGGCTGCTTGTATGTCAAATCTGATGCATGCGTACTTCGTCCACGCTGGTTGTGATGGCACTGCTCGGCTTGTCATTGGTCATGCGGGCGTGCTGAGTTACACAGTTACACAACTGACGTGTGTGGGTGTATGTACAGTGACTGGTATATAATTTCATGAGTTTCGGCACCTTTTTTCTTACAAAAAAAGCACTGGTTACAACCACAATTCTAACACCGCATTGATGTATATTAATAAGTCAAGGTGATTTTTCAAAAGCATGTTAGAACGAAAGTTAGGTATTATACCTAAAACTGTTGCAGACTGTCCTAGGACTAGTTTATGATAAACACTAGTCCCATGTATACCATACAGAGCTTCCTAGAGGAAAAGCAGGATACAAATGGGATGGATAAATAAATAATAGGGAAAAGATTAAAACCACATTGGTGTGCTGTTCAGGGAAAACAATTACTGATTGTGTTATTTCAAGCAATACAATAAAAAGTAGGGAGTTGAGAGAAAAGAGTACTTATCTCTAAGCACACATGAAGCTGCCTTTTTTTCTTCTTGACTGACAGACTTAATTAGATCTTAATGTAACATTCAGACAGTCATTAGCAAGATTTTTTTCAAGGAGAATAGAAGGGCAGAGACAGTAGACATGTTTATTTCATTAACTTACTGTGGGGTCTGCACACTTGAACTTCAACCTTTCCACCATTTCTAGCATGGCTACCCTCAGATCCACACGTTCTCTGTTCTGAAAGACAAAAAGGGCAAAGGTCACAGGAATAAATACAACAAGGATTGCCACAAAAAATCCAGAGGTGGGAGGCGGGGTAGTAATCTTCCAGCACTTTCTATTAGTCAAGTTGCTATGAGCCCCTGAATACATTCACTCATTCTTCAGGGACTGAGGTTAAGTAAGCAGTGGACTCAATGAAGAAGAAAAGATGTATCTGCCAAGAGCACTGGGAGAACTACTGGAATGAAAATTAAATGCAATTGCACAGGCCAAGTTATTCATTGCTTTGGTCACATGGATCAGCTTCAAGAAGGTTTGAATCCTGCTAGATGCTCAGCAGTCTTCACCTCCGACTGAAGCCAAGAATTCAGCTGCTGCCAGGGTGACTCAGAACCCTTCAGAATACCAGTCTTGCTGAGAATATGCCATGCAATGGTGACCTGGCTCCATGTTTCATTTATTTTCTGTAATTGGTACTGGCTGCCCAATAATTTAATCCTGCACTTTTGTGGTTCCATTCATAAGACAGAGCAAACTGAAAGAACTAATTAAGGAAGTAATCTTGAAGTTCACACTTCAAGAAAGACACAAAGCACTCGTGGAATCCCTGGAATATTTGTTTCTTTTGCTTGAACTATTCTTTCTTAAACTATTCTTTCTATTCTTTCTTAAGGGAATAGCAACATACATATCTGGGGGAGGCACACTTGAAGCAGCATCTTGTCTTTTTGTCTGCCTTCTTTAGTATGACCTTCAGTCATTTCTGACTGACTGAAGAGAGATCTCACAATTTATCCACAGCACCTGAACTTCAGAAGTAATAACATCTAAGAGGTCTGTCAAAACTTCCCAAAAGATATTCATGATCACGTATGCATAATCATTATGGCTACAAGCCAGGTAGTTTTCAAGATAGCAATTGTGTAGCAGTTATGCTGATTCATATGATCAAACAACTCGCCATGGCTTATTTAAGCTATGGTTGACTGTGACACATGCCGCTAGGTTGAGTGGACATGCTGTGGCTTGTCATGTTGACTGAAGCTGGCCAGTGGTGATTATTTAAGCAGTCATGGTCCTAAAGCAGCCTATGGATTCTGGGTGGTTCATTAACTGTGCCAACAACCCACTGTTACCAGGTTCAGATGGCACAAGCTGCAGCTGGAATATCCAACCTGGCACGACCACCCCCCTCCACCATACACACCATCGCTTAAATAAGCTACAGTGAGTTTGATTATGTCAACCACCCCAAGGTGGGGAATCCATATACCTTTTTATCTAGCTGCTTGATGCAGCCATCACTCTGTTCACATCCCAGTCCATCTGACTGAATTGTCACCAAAGCTCGTGAGCAACTACTTAAATACATACGCATGCAGGACTAGGCTGTTTCCATTTAATAAATACTCAGCAGCTTCAAGCCCACAAAATATGTTCATTCTGATCTCTTCACTTTCCCTAGTTAAACCAAATCCGCACAAAACTTTCTCAGACTATTTCAATGATAATTCAGGTAATTACTCCATCATACATGTTCCTAGCATTGTACCTGGTTTTGAAAAATTAGCTATTTTCATTAGCTTGTAAGCTTGTGATTACAACCTAGAATTTCTTTAATGGTATCCTATATATTGCTTTACTGGTGTGTCAAATTAATTATAAATTTAAGACGTTCCAAGTTTTCAACTCTTGGAAAGTTATGAGTCTAAACATTTGGTTATACAAAGTTATACACTAAGGATGGTATCCAGTGGGGCACAATCACTAACATAAAGTACATTGCGCTAGTGTAAGTGACTCTAGCACAATGCAGGTAGCATTAGCTGATGAACCAGTCTCTTCAGAAACTTGTCTTCCAACTAAGACACTCGGTGTTGTGCTAGAAAAGCCTACAGTAGTACAACATAATGCTATTTGCATTGATAACTGCACCCTGATGGAGACTGTCCAAGAGTATTTTAAAAATAAAAATCAGTAAGGTTACATTATTCCTAGTCCAGCAGAAAGCAACTTTGAGAAAACCACCATCTCTGCACTACAAACTGGACTCATCTGGCAGGATTAAATGAAAGTCATGAGCTGGGAAGACCTTGGTAAAACCTTACTTCATTGGTTTTATGCACTACTATCAATCTTTCTTAGACCAAATACAGGTATTGACCTAATTTATAGTGCTGTTGTAAGAATCTCTGTGACAATGTCTGTAAAGTACTTTGAATGCCATCCTCTTCCACAGCAGGGCATAAGGATGAATAAGTAGTAACTAAATACACTGAAATGAGAATTTGAAAGAACTTATTTGGATGAAAAGTTGCTTCAAGAAAATTTCACACCCAGAGCACACTGCTCTCACTGAGCATACTAACTTGGGAAGATGGTCCAGTCCATAGTCCAGTACATCCAAAGAATATTAGGTTGGACAAGGCTGCCTTACATGCACTAATCCAAACTTCTCAATTTAAATCTAAATCTATTTGTATAATAATGGGGTAAATCCAAGATTTAACTGCGTGGAGGCACATTTATTTAAAACATTTGTATGCCACCCAATTGTGCCGCAGCACCTCTGGGCAGCTCACGGTCATAAGAAACACAATAAAAAACTAATTACAGCACATTAAAAATCAATATTAATAAAATACAAAACAGAAGTTTGAGTGATACTGTTAAATGTTTTTTTAAAGGGAAGGTCTTTGCTGGGTGCCGATTTGGTAATATTTCATCTTAGCAATGTCTTCTGAAAGTAACTGGCTATGTAAGCAAGCAAGCCACATATCTAGGTTAGACAGAGTTATATCATCAGCTTTTCCTTGGGTCTGCAAAAAAGGTCTCCACAAAAGAATATGCACGACTGGCTCCAAGCCAGACTTGTGAACTACTTGCATATGGTATTCAGACAAGATGCTCTGAATGTATTTGCAGACTGGTGGAAGGTTGCTCATGCCTTCTAAATGTTGCATGACAAGCACCCTTAGGAAGCAGTTGAAAGATGTGGAAATAAGGTGGAGAAATTATCTGTTCCACTTCAGTCTGAGGACAGATCATCACATTTTTGGAAGTCTCTTTATGTGAAAGAATTCTCTGAATAGACATCAGCACAGCATAGAGAACTGAGCAAGAACCTTACTTCCTGAAACTTCTTACAGGGATTCTCTTCTCCCCTCTCACCCTAAGAATATTTCCTGTCCCCACTTTGGATGCCATCTGGGTCATCCTCCTCTTCCACCAGCTGCAGATTCACTTAACCTCAGCATCATCCTGTCCACATTTTAACATCTTGTCAACAAGGATATTGTGGGAGACTTTGTCAAACACTTTGCTAAAACCAAGACATATGCTCTGTCAAATACTCTGGTCCCATTGGCCCTACTGCCCAATATACCCTTACAAGGAAAGATGGAAGTAGAACAAAGGTGGACCATGTGACTTACTCTCAGGAGTACAGGACTGCAGTTTTATTAAATTTGTATCCTGCCTTTCTACCAAATGGTATTCAAGGATGCTAATAATATACTTATAAAACATAATAAAAGATATACAATACACAATTTTAAAAAGATAAAACCATGGCAAGCAAAATATCAATATGATGCTGTTGAGATTTAAAATATAATTTTGTGGTTTAATTGATGAAATTGTAACTGAATTTTCATGTGCTTTAGAGTCATATGGGCCACCTTGTCAGTGTGCTGAAAAATTCAGGTTTAAATAAATAAATGGGAAAAAAAGCAATCCATTCAAACCAGTGACATTAAATCTTCAAATCAGTTTATGGGTCAAAGGCCTATCTAAATTAGAAAACAATACCCTGATGAGAGAAGGAAAACAGAGTCACAATTAACCAGATCACCCTTAGTAAAGAGTTCCAGAATTAGGAAGTAGCCACAAAAAAGATCCTCTATCAAATTCACACCAAGCGTGCCTGAGAAGATGGCAACAAAACAAAAGAAGAAATGCTCAGCCACCACATTTCTTAACCACAAAGCCATTCTTCTATTTATGAGTCCCAAAATATGCTGAGAAAGGGTTCAATCATTACTTTCTCTTGCTGACTGTAGATTGCAATAATAAAAAGGAGAGAAAATGATAAAAGCTTTTGAAGAGTGAGATGAGAATGTCACACATCAAACTGGCAAAATCTATGGTGGAGTGGTTATAATGTAGGACTGGCTCAGGAGTTCTGGGTGCTAGTCCCCATTCAGCTGTTGGAGCTAACTGGGTGACTTTGAGCCAGCCAGACTCTAAGACTAACCTGCCTCACAGGGTTGTTGTTATGAGGATAAGATTAAGATGAGGAAGATAATTATGTAAGTCACCTTGAGCTTCTTGAAAGGTAAAAAAAAAGACAAGGTATCAACGTAATAAATAGAATTTCACAAAGCTTGCTTTTCCCAAGTACAGCAAGGCACTCAAATATCAATTCTAGTGATATTTATATCTCTAAAACCCACTTCTTCTTTACAGAGATTTTGAATGCATATATTCAGGATGAATTAAAATATCTGAACCCTCTTCAGGAGGTCAACAGTTAAAGGCAACAGTAAAATAAAAAGAACAACTATAAAAAGTTGTCATTCTTTCAGCAAAGTGAAGATGCCTGAAGCTAACAGGAAGATATACACACTCTTCCATTCAGATCAAGTCCTGTAAGTCACGCACAAACAAGAAAATGCTGTTTCTTGTGGGAAGTTATAAACTTGTGAACCTCCACAAGTTGTCTATCTTAGCAACTAGAAAAATCATCATCACTAAAACACCTCCCACAGGTCTGCATGCAGCTATGTTTTCTAGGAATAACACCCAAGCATGCTGTCCGTGCTTTAAAGAAGACCTAAAATTAAACAGCTGTGTCTTGGCTGCAGAAGAGACACTGCAAAAGCAGCCTGCAGCAAAGCTGGTGTCTACTTTCCTGTATGTTTCCTGCTTGCACATAACAAAAAGCAGACAAATCCAAAGTTAGGACAGCAGCCAAAAATAATAGAATATTAGAGTTGGAAGGGACTACAAAGGCC